TATCATTGACTGAAATCACCCCAAAACGTGTTTATTTAGGATATTGTTATTGTATAAAGTATTTATTTTTTATATGCAATCATAAAATATACAAATAAAAACTATTTTCATCAATAAATAAGTTCTAATTTCTTATTATTTAAATGTATTAAGTAAGAGTAGATATGCCTGTGTTTGGTTTAAGTGACAATTTTTAAGCTATTTTGCAATTAAAATTATATAATTAACTTTTCCTTGTGTTAAACTATCAAAACCATTATTTTGCTTTAAATAAAGTTAATTACAATTGTGTACTTTGAATAGACAGTCAAAAACGATTTTGCAGGACAATACAAAGGAATACCTTTATACGACATGCTAGATTGCGTTTATATAAAGATATGGGTCAATTTTGAATAAACATTATTGTCATGCTAAACCGTTTTGTTCAATTACCTATATAAAATATGCTACAATAAAAAAGTAACTTATGGGTTTTTATATAAATATATTTATTGATAAAACGTAAGGATAATAGGTAAAGGAAAAAATAGAATTAAAGAACAATGTTTTTTAAATAAATATTATAAAATGGTGTAACTGAAATACTTGGTTAAAACTTTACTTATGTGTTGTATGGAACAAAACTGCAAAAGAAGTTCATATATAAAGGGTGCGGCAAAAATAACTCGTAACTAGTAATTGTAACAAATAATAAAATTCATTGCTATGGGTAATATCCACTTTTAATTTAAGGCCTTTAGTAAATAATTATAAATTTTAAAAATATTATCACGCAAGGGGGGACTGCTTTTAACATTACCATGATTGTTATATTTTTAAAATTCCCATTTGCTATTTGTTTAAATAAATAGTCAAAATTATAATTAATTAATAGATATATTATAGATGATAGAAATTATTAAAAATATGACAATCAGGGTAATATTCATCGCAGTAAAAAGAGCTTAGGTTTGCCGTTTGGATACGTGCCATCATTTTAAATAAAATACATAGAAATATTTTTTTGTACTCATTAGGTATAGGTACTTTCATTTACCACGGGGTACACTTAGTTTGTGTTATTATTTAAAGCATAGTGAAAGTGAAACTACTTACGGCTTCAGTCATGTCGTCATACAACTAAGGTTCATCCAATTTGTTATCAATTTTTGCGTAGTATGTGCTAATTAAAAAATATGTTAAGGTAAGTAAAATTTCGTAAAAAACTTTATTTATTTAGATTTATTATATAATTAGGTGCTTCCTATTCTCTATGTTAGATATTTAAAATAGTAAGCCGATTGCATTTTGTTGGTACATTTTTGTGCTGATTTTGTGAACAATTTTACATAGGAATTGACGTTAGGGATACGATTGCTATAAATAGCAATAAATAACTATAGGGATATAGAATATTATAACATAAAATAATAAATACTAGTATAATAAAGAAGTAATGTCATAAGACGTCATTTTGTCGCACGCGGACAATTTATAATTTTTTTAATGGACGAGTGCGACAAAAGGTCTTATGACATGAGTTCTTTATGCTAATTTATCTATTTTCAAAAATTCCATAAAAAAAATTATTTGATACCTTAAATTTGGTCCAATTTTACTTTAGACAGTTGGTATCACTCATTGATTTGACAGTTAATGTCAAAATCGATTCGCCATGCCGTCCTTAATTTACTTATTTACGATAAGCGGCTGTTAATTTTAAAGAAGAGAAAAAGGATTTTCTTTGGTGTTAAACAAAATGTATTGCCAAAAAAGTCTCGTAAGTACTAGAAAAATTATAAAAATATTATAACCAATATGCAAAATATTATGGTGTTTAAAGTATAGCCAACATATAAAATCAAAATTTTCTCATTAAAGCACCGAAAGCGGTGTTATAATAAAGTCATTATGAACGTAAAATGTATAAAATTATATTTAAAATAGGCTATAAAACTAATATGTACCTATGCCATTAACTTTTCTCCTGTTCTACAAATGATTTAATCCTTAAAAATTGGATAGTTATTCTATGTAATATGTTTTGTGCAAAGGGAAAAACATCCGAAACAAAATTTATTTATTTTACAAGTCATGTTTTTTATAGTAATAACTTATTTTTACTAAATACTTTTGATTTTAAACCACAAGTTATGGTTGGTAACTCCAGCTTGAATTTAATTTGTAATAATTAAAATTTATAAACAATAATAACAAATGTATAAATGTATGAGAAATAATTCATTTATTGTGGTAATTTAGTCATTTTTAACTTATATCCAAGATTAAGATTGTTTTTTTGTAATTCTTACTTTTTACTAATAGAAATTGTTGGTTGGGAAGTGTTTGAAAAGCGGATGTAAAAAATGAAATCGACTTTACTTATGACGAAAAACAACTTTTTGACATTTTAAATTGATAAAGATTGATGACGCTAGGTAAAACATTCGGGGGACACTTGCGCTTTTCAAATTCAACTATTTTAAATTTTACGTCAGAGTAACAATTTTTTTAGAGACAATTAACCTCATAATGTGGATATACACTTTATGGTCAAAATATATTTAAATTAGCCACAACGCGTTGTGACCAACTCAAAAAGTCACAAAGTTGATTTTTGAATTTGAATTTTTTTTATTATAACTTGAACAAATTTTTGTACTGAAAAAAAAAATCAAGGATATTTTCTTATGATAAAAAATCATATTTTTTTTCTGAAAGCGCTAAAGGTCTTACTACACGTAAGTACTATGTAGTATGTATTATTATGTATTATAATAATTATCTTCAATCAGTGGGTAATCGGCAAGTTCAGAACGCGTCATGACTTCATACTCACAATAATATGGAGTGACCAAATATCTGCAAATGAACTATTTTTGCCTCAGTACCACAACAAGAATAAACACGCGTTGTGAATGATTGACTGCAATGAATTATGCGTTGCAATTTTCTCTAATAAGAGTTTTTAATACAAACTTATCAAATTAATTCAAAATTGTCTGTAATTTCCCCATTATTGGTTAAATGTTTTAATAATTAGTAAATCATTGTAATTACAAACTTCATTATTATTTATATTTCGATGTTCCCAATAAAACCGTTTTAAGGATTCACCTTGTATTTGTATATTATTAAATGTGTCCATCAAGACAATAACAAATTTCATTGAACATCAACATAATGTATGTGTAAAGGCACTTAATAAGTTAAGGAAATAATTGCAAGTGTGATTTGAATAATTTATGAGTGTATTTTATCCAATCGATATCCTTTTTTATTGATTTTCGTTCGTATCAAGGGAAATTAGAGATTTTTGTCATATTTTTTTATTAAATACATTTTAACTTTGCTCAATTATTTTTTAAACGTGTAACGAAAAATTATATTAAAATATATATAGTTGTTATACAGTCGGGGCCAAAAGTATGAAAAATAAATTAAAAAATAAATAAAATAGATTGTATTATAAATAATGTCTTTTTGAGCAAACAAAAAAGATATAATATCAAAAGTAACTCGTACTTGATAAAGTTGACTTAGTCTGAGCTGTCACTAACTGGAATATGTTTCTTTTTAGGGTAAGCTTAGAATAATTCAAAATTCTTTTGTAATGAGTTTGCATCTAGGGATACCTTATGATAGACAAAACAATAAAGTCTACTAAAAATAGGCAAAATTGTCAGGTAAAATAGTAATAGTGCTTTCAGGGATATTTAAAATATTTTTAAAATAAATTTTATGTGATATTACTATTAATTTTTGTGAAAATGGCGTCATAGGCCCACTCTAATACGCCAAAATGTTTTTTTAATATTTTTGTTTCTTATAAAAAACGTTTTAAAAAAAATAGGAAATTGTTTAATAAAATAAAATATTCATATCTTCTGTATGTGTGCAAAATGTGACACTTTTTTTTAATGAAAGAAATATTTTTTAAATATCTATTTTCCGCCCTTTAATTATAATAAAAAATTGTTTTAAAATATATACACAAAAATAATTTTGGAGTAAATATAATTCTAGTATAATGACATTTTCGTACAGTTCTGAGCATGCGCAGTAGCGATCTTTTAGGACGACATATTTGGGCATGCCCAGTGGAAGCATGGTACAGACAAAAAACATGCACAGTAGGGGCAGATAATTACAAAAAAAATTAATAAATGAATCAATAAATAATGTATAATTTATTAAATAATTATTTATTTGCTAATATTTTAATAATTTTTTCAATAATTACTGTTTAAATGGATATTATTTATCTTAAATTATTCTATAGTATAAGATTTATTATTCTCAACGCTTACTAGCAAAGTATTTTACTACCTTCTAGGCTGTAAAAATAATTTAGACCAATGAGGTGAAATGTTTTACATCCAAATCTGTACCAAAAGACAAACTTCTTAGTAAAATATAAAATAAATGTCAAGTAGGGATATTTGAAGTTTTTAAATAAGCATTAAAAATAAAATTGTAAAAGTAAAGTTACTAGAGCTAAAAATGTTGTTGACTGATATTCGAAAGAAAAATGGTACCGCTACTTAAAAATAATGTTTAGATAAAGTTTTTAACCATTTTATTTATTTAAAAAAGGACCTAAATAAATAATTATAAATCGTTTAATAATAGACAAAAATAGTTTACATTTACAATAATGTGATTATAAAATATTTCCAAGTATCTAAAATGCTTAAATAGTGCATTTTCTGGTAGATCCTTTTTATATATTTTTTTTAGAAAGATTTAATAAAAATGCAGTATTAAATAAATAATAAATTTGTACTTGAGGAAAAAGGTGAAAAATCTTTTAATCTAAAAAATGAAATTGTTTAAACTTTAAGGAGTACTACAATGCACTTAATTATATGTATTACCTTTATGATCCATACAATTAATTCAGTGAATAAAAGTTATGTGGCAATTTAAATAAACATAACCACTCAATGAATATTTAATTTAACTAGAGTAATACATAAATAAATTATAATCCACCACAGTGCAATTAGTAATCGAGAATTAAAGGATGATCGAGCCTTCGTTTAGGTTATTGCACCAAATTTGTTCATCGCGCAGGCGGGGAAAACGCCGGTATTCAAACATTTCATGACACATTTCAGTAGTTACTCGATTATTTTGACATGGATAACTTGGGATATGTGCAGGAAGACAACGGAAGGGTTTTTGCCATCTCACGTAAGTGTTTGTTACGTTCATTTATATTTGTTTGTTTGTTTTTAATGAGGCCAATTAATTATTATTGAAATTCGTACGCGATCGTTGTGTTTTGAATAAATGTTTTCATTTAAAATAAATTGCTGTTTTTTAAATAAGTATTGATAGACAATTTCATACACAATTGTTGCAAGGTCCAATGATATCCATTATATTATAAAACTGGTATTAAATTATTTTGCTATAAAAATAAGTATGCAAAAATTCTAATTTTTTTTTTTAAATATTATTAAATATTTAAAAATATTGTAAATTTAAATCACAATCTAAAAAAATATTAAAATTTTTGGTAATAAAAATATGATAAACAATATTTAGCGATTATTAAAATAAACATTGCCGAATTTGCACATGTTTACGTAAAATGTAAATTTAAAAGAGAAAAAAACTATATTTAAAAAATTAAATAGTACCTACACTATAATATTTAAATTATTATTACTTAAATGTCTACCGTTAACTCCATTCATAGTTCATAGCATGTGTATCAGGGTTTTATAATCTAAAAACAATTCAATGATTATACTTCTTTAAATTTAAAGACAAAAAAATCAAAACTCGCTAAAATAGATTTAACAAAATATACAAGACATGTTACTCTCTACAAAAAAGGTCAATTACATTATTTTAGCAAAACCATCCATTTAAATGATATCGGAGGTCAAAGTTTAAAATAAAAAATTCTCAAAATTTAACGTTGTTGGCTTTTTTCACATGGTTATCATCAAAATTATTTGTTAGGTTTAAAATTAATTTTGAAAAAAACTATTTTTTCCAATGACGTTTAACCTTATGTAGAATTAAGGGTAGGGGGTCGAGTGATAATTTATTTTGAAGTTATTTTTGCCCTGATTATACCCTCCAAGTTTGAAGTTTCAAGTCGCTGCTATCATACCCGTTGATGACAGCTTGTTAAAGTCTTGGAAATAGACTATTGTTTTAGTTAGTTAGGTTTGCCAAACGAATGAAGTAATAAGCAGCAAATATGTTTTACTTTTAAAGAAAAAGTATGTATTTTTTAAACTTTATTTACTAAATATTTTCGCACGATCGTCAATATTATTATCGTTAGTTTATACTAATTTCAAAAACAATGACTATGCTAGACAAACAGCACGATAAAAAGGAAAAAAATACTTACGTCAGAAAACTGACGGACAAGTTTTTGAAAACACTGGAGAAAATAAAAAATGAAGATAAGCAAATCGCAGTAACAGGGCACATTACTATACCGATTTCAATTATCCGAAGTTTCCGGCATAACACGGTCAAGTATAAGGAAAATTTTGGTTCACAAATTTTACCCCAACAAGATTCAATTGCTTTACGAACTTAATCATGATTAATGAAGATTATGATCGACGATCATAATTTGTAGAAGAAACAAGTGAACGGTGTATTTTATTTACAATGCCTGCTTTTTATATTAATGCTTCTTTTTTACATGGATTGGTCAATCGACGTAATTTTCGATACTGGAGCGATTCAAAGCCACATTTATTCATACTCAAAATCCTAAAAAGTTGAATATAGAAGGTAATAATAATAATTGGACCATTTTTTACAACCCTTTGGGCCCATGGGGGCTCTGTAGGTCCCTTGGGGGTCATTTGCCCACCTATGTTCATATAAAGTTTTCTTCCTATTATTGGCCCAGGGTTGTCATAAAATAGTTATTTATGTCATTAGGTTAAGAAGTAAGGCTTTTTGTGCTAAGCTCAAAGTTTGAAGGCCGACGCGTAGCGGAGGCCTACAATTGAGCGAAGCACAAAAAGACACTTCTTGGCCGAATGGCATACAACATTTTATCTTCAAAGCACTTTATATAGGTCAATTTAATTCAACATAAAAGCGGCCTAACCTCACTTTTTTATAATCTCATTTATTTATTAGCTAAAGATTACATTAAGTGTACAATAATTTTTATTCCTTTTAGAAGCAGTAATAGTTTGACAATACCTAGCTACATGATGTAAGCAGAAATGGATTTTTGTAACAAAATGGTTTACTTACCCTCTTGCTATTGAATTCAATTAAGTAATTGTTTAATAAATAGGTATCTAATTTCAATTTGTTTGCATTTTTATTAAAAAAATAGGTAGTTTGGAATGTTTACGCTGTGTTTAACATTTAATTTCACTGAAAACTTAAAGCAAATTAAAACTTAAAGATAATTTAAATCGTAGAAAAAGAAAACACAACTGTGAAATCTACAGAAACGTCAAATTGCAATGTCCTAACCTCACTTTTTGTTTTATTATTCATATTTAATTTTACAATAATTTAATGAAAAATAATAAACATTAACAGTAAAACAAATAAATTAGTGCTTATTATAAATAAATTAAACCAGTTTAGTACGTTAATTTCTTAGAAAAGGATTAATTTGTCAAAACAATACCCCTAGCGAAAAAAAATCGAACTAATTACTTGCCTCATAAAATTTTTTATCGGCCTAGGCCATAACAAGTTATTTCTTTATCGAATGTTGACAACAATAAAGTTTAAATTATAGACCGCGTGGAGATAACAAATATTAATATTTTAACCCACCCACAATTTTTAAAAAAGGGTATAATATTTTTTTCTTTAAAATGTTTTTTAATAACTTTTTAAATGTAGCTTTTTCTATGAGTTTTTTGGTTTTCTAAGAGTCCAAATATTAAAGATAAATTAAAATTTGCCATAAACCCTATATTTAAACCACAATTATAAGTATCAAATAATTTACCCTAAACAAATTACATTTTGGTATAATTTTGTTATTAAAAATTAACATACACATAGCTAAATGTATTTTTATGATATTTTTTTTAATATTAAAATATTGCATTTAACTTTTCATTTGGATTTATTATGTTTTTAACTTAATTCAATATCAAGGCTATAATCTTTTAAAATAATGGATTTTTATAACCTTGCTTTTAAACATTGTTTTAAACTTAAAAGACATATAAAACAATAAATTAATTGATTATCTATAAAACATAAATTTTATATAAAAAGCATTATTTAATATTAAATATTAAATAAAATATGGATTGGTAAAGACCTTTTCTTCACCAATTCATATTTTATTTAATATTATTTTAGCAAAGGTATATAATTTTTTCAACTGGATAATATAATAATGAAATTAAATAATTATATTATAAATAATATATTTTTATAATAATTGACCAAGAAAATACTGGTAAATCTTTTTTACCTAATTGGTAAACCTCTAAAATTTGTATAGACATGGTTTTGCTCTATTAAGTATCATGAAAAAAATTGTATTCTATTTATTGGTTTTTGAAATATTTATAATTAAAGTTGCAATCGCATACTTCGTTTCTTATTTAAATAACAGGTTAACTACAATTAAGGATTTTTTGAAAAAAAAAACAATTAAAATAGTAGAAAAAAGTTTATTATTCTATGGAAGTATTGTTACAAGTGTGCTTTGGATTTAACCCTGGTTTTAAATTTTATATTTGACAAATAATGGGAATATGTTTAAATTGACAGATATTTAATTGTCGCATAATACTTACACTATCGTAATAATATGACGACTGAAGGTGTCTGAAAAAGAATGTGTTCGTGAACAAAACTGGCGACTTCTTGAACAATTACTTTAGTTTTGTTTCATTTTCAATAGAATTTTTTACATTTCATTTCAATTTTTGTGGTGCATCCAAAGCACACTTGAAAAAATACACGCGACTCAAATGAGCGGTATTTCACATTTTTGGTAATATCTGTAAACATTCATTTCAACTATAGGCCCTATATAAACACTTACGTGCAAAATAATCGATCCACACAAATTTTCGATGAATTTCAATCGCAAATAACTTTTTTATATGATGTCGGATTTAAACGAATATTAAAGAATATTGTAAATAAATTAATGGACAATCGCGCACATTTTAAAAAACTATTAAAAATAGACGTACATTTATAATACGTATACAGGTTTAAACAAAAATATGTTTTTTACCATAAGTTTAAGACACTCTAGAGTGGCAAAACCATATATTGTTCTAAATTAAGTTTTATTTATCGTCACATCTATTCTTAACAGTTTTGTTTTTGGTTCACCTCGATATATTTATTTTTGTGGAAAATATGGATTTTTTTAAAAAACATTGCAATTTCCAATATTTTTCCTGTATGAAGAACTAAGGTTGCTATGGTCCATCCATAGCCTATGGAGAATGACAGTGACAGTTTTGTTGAATCATCCCATACTTGGAAATGTCATATACAGCTTTTAAAAGCTATCAAATTGTTTTTTGTAAATTAATGTGTTAATTTTGAGGTGTCTTCTTACTTTTAAAAATATCTCCGACTGATGTTGCCCTTTGTACTTTACTTCTTATGACATCTAAAACACTTGCCACGTAATACTGTGACCGTCCATCCTGGATTAAATTAATAGCTCTGGCAACATCAGTCGGAGACATATCCATTTAAACATTAATTTGAAAAAAACAATTTGATAGCTTTTGAAAGCTAATTTAGAACAATATACGGTTTTGCCACTCTACAGAGTGTCTTAAACTTATGGTAAAAATCATATTTTTGTTTAAACCTGTATATTATAAACGTACGTCTATTTTTTAGTATTTTTTTTAAATGTAAGCAATTGTCCATTAATTTATCTACAATATTCTTTAATATTAATATTAAATCCGACATCAAATAAAAAAGTTATTTGCGATTGAAATTCATCGAAAATTTGTGTGGATCGATTATTTTGCTACAAAATTTCAATAGAGCATAATATTCCTGTTAAAAAAAAATGCTATAATATTTATAGGCTTCCATTTGAAGAAAATAAATTTCCTGTCATTTCTGGTTCAATCGGAAGTGACAGCAAATTTAATATATTTTAGAAAAATAGATCACATCGCGCTTTAGCTGCAACCAAAATTTCAGATTGATGCCTCTTTTAGTTTTTTATAAACTTTTAATGAATCAGTTAGGTAAAAGCAATTTAATACATTATTTGTTATTATAACTTTATTACTGCTTTATAAAATGAAAAGTTTTTAAATGTTTTAAAAGTTTTGATAACCAATCTAAAAAATTATACTTAATATCCCTTAAAGGATTTATTAAAGAATACATACAGAGATTGACTCATCCATTAGTCCTTTGTGAATATAAACTTACTGTTTACTTACAATTTTCTTTATTTTATTTTTAAAATTATAATTAAATAAATATAACAAAACTATCGCTGGAATCTACACAAATTGTTTAGAAAATCAAACAAAATCAACCTACTACTTTTTCATAGACTTAGGTAGAATAATTATTAATTGAATGTGTTATGCAACAAGGAAGCAACTCTCAAAATTAAAAAATAAATTAGATATATGCATTTATGTAATGGGGGCTTAAAAATTGGTTTAATATATAACAAATTGAAAAATTCAAAGTAATACCAAACCAAAGGTCCGAGCATGGTTGTGCCATGAATAATAGACAATATAAAATGGATTCATTTGGTCTACAAGGAACCAACCAACAAATTAACTTATTTTATCTAAAATAAAGAAAAATATTTTAAAACTTGGAAGTTTAGTACCTACGAAAAAAGCAATTTGGAAATAACATAATAACGTTAAATTAACACTAAAATAATAAATTTACACTATAATCTCAGTTTGTTGCATAAGTTATGCAGCATAACACCATTTAATTAATAATTATTCTACCTAAGTCTATGAAAAAGTAGTAGGTAGTATTGATTTTGTTTGATTTTCTAAACAATTTGTGTAGATTCCAGCGATAGTTTTATTATATTTATTGAAGGTATTCTATTATAATACATAATATGTAATTAGTATTAAAAAAAATGTGTTTGTAATGGTGAACACTACGTTTTAAAACAGATAAAGCAGTCATTACATAAAAGCAAGAAGACTAAATACAGGAGGAGTAGTTTGCTAGATAGGAGCACGCCAAAAAAGTTATGTTTGTAAGTTAGTAGTAACCTAGGAAGGAATACCTACATATTGTAAATTACCCAGACAGTATTGGATAACAACTATGCGCAGTGAACCATTTGCACATCTGTAGGCTATTTGGGTTAACATAATATTATAATGCCCCGGGGTCGGGAATTGCTCCATTTTATTTAGTCTTCTTGTATAAAAGATTATAATCATAATAAATAAACACATAAATGGTAAATGTCCATTTATTAACTAAACTATTATCCAAAGTCATCGACTTTTAACATACTTTTGTTTTATAATTTTTTAGGAAATGGACATAACTCCCAGGATTACTTAGTCGGTGTAAATAGTAGATTGCAAATGTAAGATAATTTGGTAATACATTTTTATGCCTATTTTAGTTTTAATGTATGTTATTTTTAGTTTTAGGAAGCGAGAATTTTTTAAAAGGTTATCCATTTTATTATTAATAGTTGCAGTAGTTTTTCTAATAACTCTAATTGTATTTATTATTTTATGTAAGTATACTAACAATAAAAGGTGCATTAATATCAAATAACAATAATAAAAACACCAAGAACAAAAATTGGTGTAGGAAACATTTTGATGTATCACTCAAGTTGACTGACTCAACCGCTCTTTTTCAGTCTTTATATACGTAAAATTGCCTTAAAGTTAAAATTTGACTAAAAATGACACGCCTTTAAAAACTTTTTATAAGCATAATTAAATGCCACGCCAATAAAAATTTTAAATGCAAATTAAAGGGTCTTATAACTTTCAGCTACCTGTACTAAAATATTTTAAATGGCATATACCTTGCGACACTTGTCATTTTAAAGAAAATTAAATTTTGACCCATTGAATTTAAAAAAATTAAAGTTGGACCACCAATTCGCGGGTTTGAGCCAAAAAATGTGTGATAAAACAAAACATTCCATAAGAAATTATATACAAAAAACTGTTTTATTTGCTTCTTTTTAAATTACCTTTAGTTGTTTAGTTGTTATACATTTGTATAGAAAATTAAACTACGGATTTGATTCCATGTTCGTAGAACTGCAGGTGTTTTTAATGAGAGTCATTTAGGCAAAAATGTTGGACATCAATATATTAGTAACGTAGTAAAAAAAATATGGAAACTGGTTCAGTGTATACGTGCCAGCAACTTAGTGAAGATGACTATGAAAGAAGAATCTAGTTTTTTAAAAATGACGCAAAGAGTTGAGGTCATACCCAATTTGTTAAAAAATATTTGTTTCAGCGATGAATCTATTTTTTTCTAAATGGATTTGTAAATAAACACAATTGTAGGTACTTGGGCAATGAAAATCCACATGTTAGGATAATACTTAGTATCCTCAAAAAATCAATGTATGTGCTGGTATTCTTGGCAACAAAATTGGACCGCTTTTAAAATTATATCTTGATATTCTTAAAAATTTTATAGACCAACTTATTACCCAGTCATTAGAAAATCAGATCAAAAACATGTTGCTTGATAAAGAACATTTGTACTTTCAACAAGATGAAGCTCCTCCTCACTATGCTTTAAGAGTCAGAGAATGGTTGAACCAAAGGTTCCCCGACAAATGGATTGGTTAAAGAGGTGTTCAAGACTGGCCTGCAAGATCTTTAGATTCAACCACACTTTTTCTTTGGGGTTATTTTAAAACTCAAATCTACAAAACACCACCTGAGAAAATCTTAATCGAAGAAGATAAATCCTAAAATGTTTTAAAAAAATTCATATTAGTTTACAGATTTTATTATTGTTCGGGAAATAACGAAGAACATTTTTAACATTTAAAATATTTTTTTTATGAAATTCTTTGTTTTATTTTATTTTGTGGCTTTAACTTACAAATCCGTGATAAAATTTTAATTTTTTTTAACTTCAATGAATGAGAAATTGAATTTCCTTTGTCATTTAAAATATTTTAGTACCCAAGGGTAGCTAGAGGTGAAAGGATGCAACATAAAATTTGTTTAACACTGGATTTCTACTTCCCCCTCGATATCTAAATCCACCTGTTTTTGCTTGAAATCATATTTACTATAACTCAAAAGTTATTATTTTTTTAAAATCTGGGTTTATTTAAAAAAACATCCTAAACCTATTATTTTGCATTAATAGTGTCAATTATAAAAAAGATGCATAAAAAGCATCTTAATATTAGCATCAGTAACGCTCGTCTTTGAGCGGCCATCGTGGCTCTGATTTTTTTTACCTTTCTATTCAGACATTTTTTTTCCTGAGAAAGAAGACACAGATTCTTTATAAGGTGTTGTATCTAGCCTACAAAATATCTGATTAACTTTCTTCATCAAAAATAAAATAAAAATATCTTGCTTAATAAGGACGTTTCCTGTTCGTGTTAATTTCTTTTTAAGCAAATTAGTTCCAAGCGTTATGAATCTACTGGAATCAGTCTTGTTTATATTTGATTCGCCCACGTATTATAATATTACATACTTACTTAAAAGGTTTACCTTTATGATTTTAATACATTTTTTACGAAGGTATAGCCGTAGTAGCACTTTTATGGAGTTAAGGGGTACAATTTACCTAAAACAAATTAAATATTTAAACATATACATATAAATATAAATATAAATATAGTCTTTCAAAATCCAAACCTAACCTCAAGGAATAGTCCCATACTTTGTTATACAATTACCAGGTATTTATGTTACATTTTAGATTTAGAAAAAACAACGACAAGTATATGTACAACAGACGAGTGCCTTAGATCAGCTACAAATTTTAAGTATTCAATAGACTATAGCGTAGACCCTTGCACTGATTTTTACCAGTTCACCTGTGGAAAATGGTCGGAAGAACATCCAAATCATGGCTGGTACCCATCGTTTTCCACTTTTTCTACCATCGATGAAAAATTGACGATACATATGATGAACTTTTTTGAATCTGAAAAAAAAGATGATGAACCCCAAGCAGTGGTTAAAGCCAGAAATTTATATAAATCTTGTATGGATGTAGGTTTGTAGAGAAAAACATAATGTACTTTAATGAAGTAATAAAAATATATTTTAGGAGCATTAAACAATCTGGGATTATTAATAGTTTACAAGTATCTTAATGTTAGTGGATTACCAGTGATACCAGCGTTTTTAAATAAAACAGAGGATGAACAACAGCAGTTTAAATTTGACTGGCTAAATGTTGAAGCAGGCTTGAAAAAAACTTTTGCAATGGACGTCTTTTTTGGTTTTGTAGTGTCACCAAATTTTTTTAATATAAGTCAAAATGTAATTTATTTTGGAACGCCTGGGTCAAAATGTCCACTACCCAGGTAAACAGAGGTCTTTCATAATTAACGATATTTAAATTGCTTTTTTTCTCCCACCTTTCAAATCTTACATGTTTTCATGACACTAGGTGATCTTTTAAATACACATAAACCAGTTGTGACTTTATGGCGTTAGTTAAGGGCTGAAGTTAGCAACATGTTTTTAGTCACGGGCTGAAGTTAGCTTAAAGTTATTTGACAGTTATCAAATGTCATACACTCGTAAAAATAAGGTGCCCTTTTGTAAAATAATAGTAAATGTAAATAAAATATTAAATATTTTATTATATCTATACAAAAATACAAAATTATTAAACAGTTGCTTCACGCCAATTATTAAAAGGTTTATATGCACTTTTGATTTTGTCGGCGGTAGGTACACTTGTATTTGCCGATAAAGCATTAAATTTCGGGTAGAGTAACCAAAACATATTTCTATCTTTAGTAAATATTCTTTAAAAAAACATATAAAAAACATATTTCTATCTTTAGTAAATATTCTTTACAAAAAAAATGAAAACTAACTGCCACTTTCAAAGCCGGTAACAGATTCACAGGTTACTCTATTTTTGTATAGATGTCGCTCTATACAAATATTTAAATTAATTAGTAACAATTTGTTTTTTATACCTATAAATATTTGTCGTTAAAAATGTTTGATATGCAACTTTTCTAGACATTCATTTCACTAAATACTGGCTTGCAAGCTCTACCTATTTAAAATTCGTGACTAAAATGGCGTTTATCAAAATTAATACATAATATACTATTTACTTAAAGGATTTGGAATACTCACAAATTTGTATTATACCTTGAAGTAATTGTTCTTTATATTCTAATTTAGGAACTAAGTTGCTCCTATTTGTCTACTATTTTCATAATACGGTTTTATAAATCCAGTATACGAAATTTTACATTTAATAAACATTTTGTAGTACTAGCCTTATTTTAATGATCAAAAAATAAGTTAAAATTACTGATTTTAGCCCTTTTAAAAAACGGGCATCACTTCTTATCAAGTTGAAAGGCGAAAAAAACGACGATTTGGATGATATGGATAATGATGATGATGATGATGATGATTCAGATTCAAGCGAAGAATACGATCTTCTTGTTAGAACTACTAGAGGATTATTATTTAACTATATTGTTAAGGAAATATCAAAAAATAATTCCGCACCAATTCCTGAAAATAGTTTATTACAAGATGGAGCGGACTATATTAATAACATTACAGATTATATAAAAGAGGTAAATTAAACAACAGTTTATTATAATAGTACCATATTCAAATTTTGTCGCATAAAAACTAAAACTCTAAAGTCTAAAGACCAACAAACAATAAATGTAAACAATTAACATCTTTTTTTATTATATATTTTATATTAAATGACTGGAACAAAAGTTTTTCAATAATTTATTTAATTAAACAAATAAATCACCTTCAAATAACCCTGTATATACAGGGTCGTTTGAAGGTAATTTATGGTCGTTCATCGTCGTATAATAAGGGGTTTTCACACTTTTTTGGTTTTTACACTCGGGTGGCTGAACAAGGTATGTTTGTTTAAACGCGGATTTCTTGAACTTTCTTTTGTACCAGTTTTCTTTTTTCCCAATATCTCTGGATTCTTGCAAATTTTTATTGTGTTTTTTTCTATACCTGTTCGGTAATCCCATATTTTGTTGTCTATGCTCTCTGGGCATGGGTTCTGTGTTAATTTATTCATATGTGAAACCAAACGTCCGGTGAAAGTAAGTAAGTAAGTAAGTAAATCTTTGTCCTGTAAGACCACTTTCGATAAAAATTGTTCCAATTACTTCTCTTCGTAGTATTCCACGCAATACATTGATGGTTGCTTGATATATTTATTTGCTTAAATACATAATTGCTCAAAAGTATCGACAGGGCTGTTTTATTTACAGATTATATTTACAAACTAAAAAGGTAAATATTAAATACGTAAATGACATTTTGGCTTGATAAAGCATTCTAAAAAAAGCCTATGGTTGAGGAAAAATTGCTGTAAGCAGCTGAACAAGCTGAAAGGGACATAGCCGAAGAATTACCACCTGATCATCCCCGATACTGATATAGAAAGCCGCTTCGAGGAAGAATAAAATGTTTAATCAGAGTTTTCACAGAGGAACACTCTTCTTATAGATAATAAAGATAATTAAAATTTACCTATAAATGTAAGTGAAGCTAGTGTTATAGTTGATTTTGTAAGTAGTAAGGATGTAAAAAACTCTTAATCGGCGTTGGAAAAAATGGATACAAATATTTCCAATTATGATCTATCTGAAGGCCCACATATTGAGGAATGTTTAACATACCTGTCTTTCACAGATTACTTAAGAAAGTTGGTTGGTACAGCTATAACAGATATAACTTATCATAGTATATTACTAACTTAAATTTGAAGAAAAATGAGCTCATTGCAACTTTGGGCATAAACTTTATTATGGGATATTATTTATTATAAATATATCAACAAAAAAATTATATGTTTAAAAACAGGACTATGGACTGGGTGATCGGGTAGTGCTTCATCTGACTGAACTTGAGTGTTGTAAATACAGGAATATTAACTTGGACATTCTTTTTTTCAGTTCTTACCTTTTAGGAAGGCTGTTAATAGAAAAAATGAAAGATTGTAAAAGTATTCATGCATCCAAAAAATATTGTCCGCATTTGACAGTTCAACATAAAAAAATGAAGAGAGAGGACTTTGATTATAGGGTTACAAATACGAATACTAGCTTTTTTAAGTGAAAAGATAATAAATTTGTACACTTTGCCTGTAATTTTCATTGGACAGAGACTTGCACTGGAATTGATTTAAAGTCACGAGTACCATGTCCAAATATTGTAGCAAATTAATTTTACAAATCAACGAGAAAGGTGTGAAAAGTGCTCATCAAAATGCATCAAATCCCGTCCACATTCCAAATGTACAGCCTGTGGATTTTTTTTTTGTGCCACCGGGATGAAAAACTTTGCTGAATATTACGTTGTAAACGTAAATTGTTTTTTTTTAATTTTTAACAAATACATTGTTAAAACCATGCCATATTTAAAAAAAAAAGTCGTTAAGTCTTGGCGGTCCTTTGGGTAGTATGCCTTTAAAAAATTAGTAACAAAGGGTTGTAATTTTGTCAAACTGAAAACATGTTAAATTTAACTCTTGGGAAGGAAATTTTTTTGCATAAAATAACACTTCTTATTTAGTTTTAATTTTATTTACATTTTTTAACTTTTAAATAATATAAATAAGATACCCCTCTATAATCTTTATTGAAGAACATGTAAAAAGTAAAATCCATGTTTTAAAACATGATTTATTTGAATACAATTTTGTGGGGGTATCCCATTTATAAAAACCACACTGTTTTGTTAAAATATTCACAATTGCTAAATTATTTATAAGTAGTGGATATAAAAAGTAGTTAGTAGAAAAAAAATAGTTTTTTCTTGTTTTGTCGAAAAAAAAATTCTGGAATTCCTGGGTATTTATTTGTAGATCATTCACCTTCAAGGTGGTACGCGGATTCTGGGACACCCTGTATAGAAAGACTTTATATTAATAGTAGCTCAAAAGTTAAATTATTATTAAAATGCGTATAGAAATAAATCTACAACGTCATTATTTATGCGACAGAATCCTAAGAAATTATTTATTTAAATGCTTGAAAAAAAAACAGTAAATAAAACCCGGCGGCGAAAGATTATTAATTGCCTCGCATACAATCTATCGGCTATCGCCTCGTCAGTAAAATGTATGCTTAAATAGGTTGTCATGTATAGTAAACATAAAAAGGCTAAAAAGAAAATTTATTTGTTCTAAAAACAAAGATTGTTTAAAATTTATTTTCTTTTAGGTAACTAAAAATTATACTGGTGATCCTGATTCTTACAACATATACGGCAAAACGATATTTGAAGCCCAAAAAGATTTGGACCTAGCACTCTCAAATTATACCACCAAAACATTTCCAAACTTTTACAGCATATATTTAACATACATCTTCAAAAATAGCGGTGTCACTTTGGATCCAAACACCGATTTGATTTATTTCTACGAAAGAGAAGAAAAGTTTATACCTATAATGTTGGCATATGTTCTGGATATGCCTGAGGTAGTGATTGAATTGTACTTATGGTGGATTACTGTGTATTCTATGATTATGAATACGTCTTCAGAAATTATAACCTACATTTCGAGACAGGTTTTACCTTTTTATGGAGAGGGCGAAGTTGTCAGGACGAGGTAAATTTCATTATTATTGTATGTTTAGCGTATAAAAAATAGATTCACAAAGTAAACAGATAATAAGGAGTACCTGTCTAAATTAAATTATAAAAGGGAATAGAAAAATCGCCTAAATTTCTGTTTCGTTTTCGTTCAGCCACCCTGTATAATTTATTTTATTTCATTAGATCGATGGAGTGTACATCTCTAGTGGGTTCTTACATGGGTATGGCAGTTAGTTACGTATTGGCAGATAAATCTTTTAAGGATATTACAAAACCAAAGGTAGATATAATAAACCATAAAATAATCTACTAAATATTTGTCTTCCAAATTAAAAACTTTATTTTTAAGGTAGAGAGAATGATAAACGACATAAAAACAGCATTTGAGGAACAAGTTCACAATGCCAAATGGATGGATAAGAAAACCAAAAAAGCTACATTAGATAAATGCCAAGAAACTCTTAGTTTTGTTGGGTATCCTGACTGGCTTTTCAACAATGGTTCATTAGATGCCTATTATGAGGGTGTAAGTAAATAAAAAAATATATTTTACTTTAAAAACAGTTAAACGTTATTATTTTAGGTTGAAGTCTTACCGGCAACGTATTTGGAAAATATGATAAATATAATAAAGGCAGATACCAAAAAGATAAATTTACTTAGGGAAACCAATCATAGAAATTGGTCAACAGATCCAAATACTGTTAATGCCTACAATTCGTTTTTTGATAATGCAATCAGTAAGTTTATTTACCCATAGTAGGCTTGTAGTAGAAGATATTTTTTATTTTTAGATGTGCCTATGGCAATTTTAAATTATCCGATGTATAATTTGGGATTAGAGTAAGTTTATTTATTATTTGGTTATTGGTGTGGATAATACTTTCTAACAAAGATCTGATATACCATAACGGTATAGAAAACCCCATAAATGGTTTATTTAATTTGAGTTAAAATTTTCTTTTGTTGGCCTTATATGTTTTGCATGTTTCAGTTAATAATTTATTTATTGAGCATTTGGTCAATAAATTTAAATTGATTTGATTTCACCGTCTAGTGCCTATAAAACATTATCTTTACTTTCAAAAAACAAAAAAAATATCCTATTTAAAACAACGGCTAATACAATATTATTTTCACTTTATATCAAGAATTTGTTAAAAAAGACTTCAAAATCTCAAAATTATTGTTGTAATGTATTATTTTTAAATTGTAGGTTTTTAAATTACGGTTCAATTGGATCAATATTAGGACATGAACTAACGCATGGATTTGATAATTCAGGTTACTATACCAAATATTTTAAATACTAGATACCTACTAATGTGGACAATTTTAATTATTGATATTTTTAACAGGAAGAAAACATGATAAATATGGAAACTACATACAATGGTGGTCAAATTCAACCATAAACACCTTTGAAGATTTGACAACATGTTTCATCGATCAATATGACAATTATACACTTGATGGGGTGGAAGGTCATGTAAGTTTATGGCAACATTATTAATCAAGTAAAACAATACAAACAAATCGTTAAAATTTTAGGTTAATGGTAAAAAAACATTGGGGGAAAACTTAGCTGACAATGGAGGAGTCAATCAAGCATTTAAGGCTTATGTTAATTTTGTTAGGAAAAATGGCCACGAAAGTAAACTACCCGGTTTTGAGAATTACACCAATTATCAACTATTTTTTATTGCTTACGGAAGTGTAAGTAAACAAAAAATATACGGGTGAAATTTTCCATTAGATATATAGCTTTACACTTCTTGTGAAGTTGTAGCTGTTTTTTTAGAGGATTCGCTTCTCTGATTGATCAGTCCATATTCGCTCTTTTTATCTTACAGTTCGCTGTATGTTTTTGCCTTTTCGATAATACCTTGGTATGTCTGCAGACATGTCTATTTCTGATTTTCTGCTTTCATACTTAGATTATATGTTTTGGCTATTCCCCTGATGTTTTCTTAATGGGGTCCCTGGTTTTTTCGATTCAGTGAAAATCTCATATATTAGATTCTCTGGGAACCCGTTTTTCTTAAGGTCTTTTTTAATATTGCATAACTCCTCAATAAGGGCGTCTTCAGTGTTACATATCCTTTTTGCCCTTTCGATTAAATTCTTGATAATCCCGGTTTTTGTGGAATTTGTCATTATCACCTGAAGCAGATACTTAGCAATTGAAACGTTGTGAATTAATCATAAAAAAGACAATGGAAGTCCAAAAATATGTTTCTAATTGATAATTCCATTTTATTTTTGTCCTCGCTCTCGATCTATCCTCTACTGGTTCTCCACTCTTTTATTTTACATACTACTTCGGTTTTGTCTTTTCTGTACACGTATCCAAACCATCACCAGTCTGAGCCTTAATTACCTTTATTTTCGTTGTTATTTTTTTATTTTATAATTTTCGTGACTCTCCTTCTCCTATTCTGACTGATGCGTATATTTTTCTTTAAATTTTTCCTTTCATAACATCTTAATTTCTCTTCTTTGCTTTTTATTGTCATTTTATCTGCTGCTGCTGAAATATGAATTGGGTCTATAGTTGATTTTTTTTGTATCAATTTTTATTGGAGGTCTCCTATTTCGTTTTTTATACATTTTTTATTATAAATTATAAATAATTGTTGTCAATACTTTGTAGTTAAGTTAAATTTTCTAATATAAAGTCTAAAAAAATAATAAAAATAAATATTTTACTACTTAATATAGAACGTCAAAATAATAAATTATTGAAATTTTATTAAAAAAATCACATATGGTACTTACAAATTCAGTAAACATTTTATATAAGATCATCTCTTAAAACATTATAATTTAATGTAAGCTAGGTATGTTTTATGGATATTTTTAATATAATGTATGGAGACGGGTTTATAAAATGTGTTTTTGACAAGAAAGGGTGTACCTAAAACTAAAGCACATTTATACTTTTAAGTTATTGTTAAAAATATATTGTGTACAATTGGGGTCGCTACCACAGATTACGATTTGGGTTTTAAAAATAATATGTTTTAGATTTGGTGCGAAACAACATCACCAGATGATTTAGAAAGTCAATTAGAATCGGACGAACATTCTCCAAATTCAGTTAGAGTAATTGGAACACTTCAAAATTCTGAAGATTTTGCAAGAATCTTCAAATGTCCCAAAGGAAGTAAAATGAATCCTGATAGAAAAAAATGTAAAATATGGTGATAATAATAGCTAACTATTTGTCATCTAAAATGTATATTTAAACTTTTAAGTATTTGAAAACAGGCTATAAAAATCAGCTGATCCGTCCAATGCAATTAAAAATATACATATTATTTATAAACAAAACCAATCAAAGCTAAACGCTGTGTTCGTCCATAAGTCATATCTACCAAAGACATTGATTTTTAACAGGTTAAGTACCATAAAGTGAAAACAATTCTGACAATGGTTTTTCTGCTAAATACCTACCCGTTATTTGCCAATTTGCATCTTAATAAATAGGTTGTACATGATTCCAATGGTCTCATATTGCCTACTAGACAAAACTAGCATAAGACCACGTTGAACTCATATGATACTTACTGTTAAATTAGAGTTAGCCTAATTTATTGTAATTAGTGTAATTAAAGTATAGTTAAATTGACCAAGAAACCAAAAAGTTACTAAAAGTTGTGAAGTATTCTTTTATAGATATTATTTATATTTACATAATGTTGAAAACATTTTATTTGGCGATGCAATATTTAAAATTTAATATATTTTTTTAACAAAAAAACTATAATTTTGTTTTAGAATATATAATGTATTATCGATTAATAATATTTAAGGTCGACCATAAAAAATGATTGATTCCGTCCTATTTTGGTATTTACGTAGTATTGATTCAATATAATATAATAGTATATTATTATTCGAGAGATAATGCAGGATATTATTCACGAGGATAAGGTTTGCGGCTTGAGTCGCCAGACGAGAGACTTAAATCATTCGAGTCAATAATGTGCATTTCGAGGGCAATACTAAACTTTATCTAGTCTAATAAGTAGATTATTATATGATTTTTAAAAATAATTAAATAAAATCTGACATATGTCAAAAGGTTAACCTCACTTTTTAGAAATTTTAAATGTTATCATAGTCGCCTTTTTTCAATTGTTTCCGATTGGTTCAATTACAGTAAATATTCAAATCGGCCAATCACTGATGCCTAACAACATAAATAATATTTTTTTACGAAAAAAACAATATTATGCAATAGGAGTAGATAAAATATGAATTTTATCAATGTCAGAAATAATCAAAATGTATGGTCTAAAAATTTAAACTCAAAATTTATATATTTAAGACTTACATTTAAAAGGTATAAACAAAAATGTAAATTTATTATAAGTAAGGGTTATTAAGGTTTTAATTGTGTGATATTAGATAATTTTAAATAACTGTTTGCACTATATATTTTAATACAAACTATTGGAGTGCCATTGTGTGATATAATTTGTGATTTACCTATTTAATTTTAATATAAATAAAAATTACAAAAACAAACTGGTATATTTTTTATGTAGCTTTATCAAAAACAATAAGTACGTTAAATGTGTTTATAAATATTTTAAACTGGTTATAAATCCAATCCTATTAAAAGTAATAATTAAATAAAAATTTATAAATTAAAAAAATACAACATAAAATGTTATCCATATTTTGTAAAACATACTACATATATGTATGTACCTAATCGTTGTTTACTTATTGATAGGAATGGCAACAATATAGGTATCGATGTTTTTTCATATCGATATATTTAATAATTTCTTAATATTAACCTTAAATATGTAATAACTATTTAATAATAATATTAATATTTTTTGTATTTTTGTAATAAATTAAATTATTTTGGTTGGTCTCTGAGTTTTTTCTGTGTTCATCTTTAATTTGTTTGAAGTAAACCACTGTTCTGCTTTACTTTCACTATCTCTGCTATGCTGTAGTGCTTGATACTGACATTTATGGCTATTAATATTTGTCGTATCGTCTGCAAAAGCAAAGCAGTTTTCCGGAAACATATATAGAAAAAAGATCATTTACATACAGAATAAAAAGTAGGGGCCCCAGTACAGAACCCTAGGGTACCCCGTGCATTATTTTATAATGGTTACCATTACCTATGTAGTTTGATACATCGTTAGATTTCTTAATTTTATTCTATTTAATTATGTAAAATTTTAATATGGTGGGGGTATCTCAAAATTCAGTTGACGAAAAAATCACAAATTGCAGATAAATGTGTTTACAGGTTAACCTTTTTTTTGAAAATTTTTAGGAATAACAAAGTTATAACAATTTTTGGTTTTAACAGGTTTCAATTTATTTAAATTATTTGAAAACCGCTGATTTTTTATCCAATTTTGTAATTCCATTTTAGTAGACTTTTGTCAAACAACCTTGTAACTCTTCAAATAAAAAATATACCCATACATACAAGGATACTTGGTGCACCCTGTATAGTCAACCGAAGCCGAAAAAAACCTATGTAATAATAATATTATTATTAATAATTATCAAATAAAAAAAAAATTAATCTGCCTTCCTTACTTATTTAAGAGTAATACTCAATCCTACAGTATTATTAAATTAAATTAAAATAAAATATGCCCTATCAAATATTATTAATGATATTGTTAATGCTACTGATTCCAATAAATTATCCCTTATGATTCTTCTTGATTTTAGTAAAATTAATCATCTACTTCTACTCTCATTACTACATTATATTGGATTTGATCCAGTATCAAGAAGATTTGTCTGGAAGATGTCAAAGTGTTATGATGAATGGTCAAATTTCTGAGGCGAGAGAAGTCGTTTGCGGTGTACCACAGGGATCGATTTTGGGACCTCTGCTATTTACAATCTATACATCCCAGTTTGAAAAAAAATTAAACATTGTAGTGCTCACTTTTATGCGGACGATACTCAGCTAGTTTATTCCTTTGGCGAATCTGAGACGGATAGAGCTTGTGCAAATATAAATACAGATATTATAAATCTCATAACAATTTATAACAAGAATTGTCTAGACATCAATCCAACTAAATCTAATATTTTGTTATTTGGTAAAATCGGAGCTAAAAACAGAGTCTTACCCCGAATAAATGTAGTGATAGGAAATAGTAAGTTGGAGCTGGTCAAATCTTCTAAAAACTTAGGCATTTACATTGACACGGATTTAAATTTTGAAGTTTTGAAGTTAATAGCATTATTAAAAAATCTTTTAGTAATTTATAGTTACTTTACTCCTATAGACATCTGCTATCCAGGAAAAATAAAACCACATTGTGTGAGGCTCTAGTTTTATCGCATCTCAATTATGGCAATATTCTATACGGTCCTTTTCTTAGACAGCGGGATATCAATAGGCTCCAGCTTATTCAAAATAGCTGTGTTAGACTAGTATTTAGTATTCGCAAATTTGACCCTGTTTCTAGCTATTACAGGGAAATCGGCTGGCTCAACGTAAAAAAAGAGCTCTACTACATAGTTGCTGCTTTTTTCATAAGGTTATACTTCACAAAACACCACCTTATCTTTATAATAAAATAATATACAGAAATGATATTCACAATATTAATGTCCGATTTAAAATTTTTTTTATCAATTCCCAAACACAAATTATTATTATTATTATGATTATTAAAAATTCCGGATTATTTAAAAACTTATAAACCTAATAAATTTAAGTCTGCTGTTAAAACATTAATTCACAATGATCTGTTATTATAAATGTATACATTTTTTCTAATTAATCTAATTTTTCTTAACTACTACGGGAATGTTGTGTTCATGTGTTGTTTTATTTTTGGGATATACTTGTTTTTTAGTTAATTTTTATGGTTGAGTGGAAGAGCAGACACTTTAGTCTGAACTCTGCCTTTGACAAACTGTCATCTATTCTTTAGTGTTCATAGAATATTATTTTGTATACCTATGTAAAACAGTTTGCCAATAAAAGCATTTATTATTATTATTATTATTATATTTAATCCTGCTTTGTTTCTTGTATTGTATTTTTATTGTTCTTGAGTTTTTGTATAAAACTTCTTTAGCAAGTTATAGCAACTAAAATTTGGAATTTAATATGTTTCAAAATATTTTCAATATCTTTTATATAAATTAGGACTGTGATTTCCAAATGTTTTAAGAATATTATTATGTAGACATTTTATCAAATTTTAAAGGAAATTAATAAATTAAGTATTATATTATATGTAAATGTGTAATTAAAAATACCTATAAATTTAAATTAAATTTGGTTTATCCACTTCGCAATTTTTAACTTTTAAAAGCTCACTTTATTTTATTTGTTAAATTTATAAATACAAAGCTACAATTAAAACTATAAGTATTAAAATACGATTAAATTTTTTTACAAATAAATAAAAACAGTATTATATATAAAATAGCTTTATTTCTCTATGCATTTAAAATATATACATCGATGGAGGGACCATCAGAAAAATTAACAAAATACTGTTATCACATTCGCGATGATTGAGTTTAAATGGTTTATGAAATGAGTATAAATGGTAATGATGTAGTCTTAGGTTTTCTTTTACCATTTGGATGAACCTCCACCGAGGGAAATGGAAGAGTAGCTGGAAGCACCACCGTGTCCACCACCGTAGCTGGAAAGACCACCGTGACCTCCAGAAGATCCCAAAGAGATTCCGTGACCACCGGAAGATCCCAAAGAGATTCCGTGACCACCGGAAGATCCCAAAGAGATTCCGTGTCCACCGCCATAGCTGGAACCATGACCAATTGAGATGGAAGAGATTGAACCTCCATGTCCACCATAACCTCCTCCAATTGAACCACCTCCATGTCCTCCCAAACCACCTCCGTATCCGCCTCCGTATCCGCCTCCTAACCCACCTCCAAGTCCACCTCCCAAACCTCCAGCACCGCCTCCACCTCCTCCTCCAACGTATACAGGTTGAGCAACTGGTACTACGATAGTTTGACGGACTGGTACTGCAACAGGTTGTGCTACTTCAACTGGGTAGGGTTGTGGAACTTCAACTGGGTAGGGTTGAGCTACCGGTACACGTACTGGTACTTGAACTGGTACTGGCACTGGGCGGTTTACGGTGACTGGTACTGGGCGTGGTACAATTACAGTTCTTGGTACTGGTACTTCAACCTTATAAAAAAGGTGGTGTAAGTGTGTTAATTATTTTTTTAGGTGATACTTACAGGTACTGGTCTTGGTACTGGAACGGCAACAGGTTGGGCTACTGGTACTGGTACGCGCCTAGTTACAGTGTAGGGTTGAGGTACTGGTACTGGTACACCAACGGTTTGGGTAATGGTGCTAATAGTGGCTCCACCACCACCACCGCCGCCTCCTAATCCTCCTCCCAAACCACCTCCCAAGCCACCTCCTAATCCTCCTCCAATTCCACCTCCATATCCTCCTCCATAACCTCCTCCAAGGGAGATACCACCTCCATGACCACCGCCGTATCCTCCACCAAGGGAGATTCCACCTCCATGACCACCGCCGTATCCCCCACCAAGAGAGATACCACCTCCATGTCCACCGTATCCTCCTCCAAGGGAGATACCTCCTCCATGACCTCCTAAGGAGATTTCTTCATGGCCACCTCCAAGAGAAATGCTAGAGCCATGGTCGCCCAAGTCCAAAAGACCGCGCTTTTCTTGTTTGCTAGGTTTGCTGGCCTCCCCTGCGCTTGCTACGCAGGCGACTGCCAATAAAAATGTACCTAACTGTAAAAAAAATTGTTTTTTAATAAATATGCAATTTTAATTTTTTTGTGTAATAATGACAACAGTAAACTTGGACATATTAAAAGAAAATAAGTTTTACCTACATTTCATTAGCTGACAAGGGCTTTTTGGCAACTAGAATAAGTTTAAAGGCATTTTTAAAACAAGAGCGTTTTTAACAACCCTTTAGTAGCATTTCAACTAAATACTAAAACGCAATGTAAAGTTTTTAACAAAAATAACTGTAACAACAAAATTTGTATCATCGAATATTTGTTATATTTAAATATTAAAATACTTTATTTATTTATAAAGCTTATTAAAATTGTTCTTTAGTAAAAAAATGCAATATTTATAGAGCTTAATATAATAATGTAAATATAAAATACTTATTAATATAAAAATAAACAATACAAAAACATTGAATACGTTTTTTAACTCACCACAAACGGTCTCATGTCTGTGTTTGAACGTTGGTAAACTAACAATGATGGTTACCCCTTAAAAGAGGTGGGTATTTATAGTGGTGCCATACCATAGCAATGGCAGATACCTCCCCAAAATCATTCAGACGAAGACACCACTCACTCGCACTATACGTTCGGTCACTTTCACGTGTCCATCTCGAACGTATCTACATTTGGCTGCATCTGATACTGGTTCAGTGTTTTTTAATTAGTGTGAAATTTTAATAAATTATCCAAACACAGATTTTTTTGCTCATTAGTTCTTTATTTTTTTTATTAAACATATAATTAAATTTTAAATATTTTAAGTCGTTAAAAAAATTATAAAATAAAGGTAATGAAAAGGCACTATAAATAAATATTAGAGATATAACTAAAACTTTCATTGTGACATAGGAATTTAAGAAAATTCCATACACTTACATTACCTTTAAAGTATATTCTTCTTAAATCATACATATAAAAAGTAAAAGTGGTTAAATTTTTGTATTACATTTGTTTGCATTTTAATCTGTATCATGTATTATTTTACGTATCACGTTAGACAAAATATTTTAAATTTTATTACATGTACTAGAAGTTTTGTCTTAAAATAAGCAAAAAAAGTGCCAAGCCGAAAGCTGTATATTTTATGTATATACAAAAAAAAATCACAATATTTTATTAATAACGTTTTGTTTGGCAGTTTATTTATAATAGTATATTATGTATCCAATTTTATAGACACCATTTTAGTCACGAATTTTATTGGGCACAAGCGAATCATTCAAGCAAGTGTTTAATTAAAACAAGTGTCTATACTCGTTTTATAAACTTCTCTATAGAGAAGTTTATAAAACGAGTTGAATATAGTATTATATACTTTATATATATACTTTATCTACGGCAGACATAATATTTTAAAGCCAATTTTAATACATAAATATTTGACATTTGGAGAATTTAAACTCACTTTTTTGCAATTTATATTAAAGCTTCGCACGTGACTAAAACGACATAAAGTCACAGTTCGTCAATATAGGAGTAGAAAAAATATGCATGTTAAATATGCCAGTTAAAATTTATTGTTTTATGATAAAAATATTTATTTTACTTAAAATAAGGAAAGAAAACCTAAGATAGATGTTTTTTTGGAAAAAATAGAAAATGTATGGAATAAGATAAATATATTGGATTGAAATGGACTTATGGTACCACCAACTGTTTTATAGTCTATAAATATGTTAAGAATATAATATGGTTAAAGTGTTAAATATTAAATAAGTTATAAAAATCTATTACCCTCAAAGAGAAAATAAATAAATAATCTGTTATTTTAATTAACTAGTTTTACAAATTGTAAATTGCGTTTTCCAAATTTCCTGCAGAATTGGTGTTTAATAATATTTTTAACACCCAGTATCTTTTAAACAATGAATCTTCGGCACCATGTTAATATTATCTGTTGGTCTTATATTTGGATACAAAATTGCCATAAGAACGATGACACATTTGTTTTAAACACCCTGTATCATTTTTAATTTGTATAAAGTGACACTTTAAGCACTAGTGTTTAAAAATAAAAAATACTATATTATGTTTAAAAAAAAATATATACAAAAGTGCTCTTTTAGTTCCACCCTTACTTCTTAAGAAGTCGCATAAGCCATCAATGCACAATTAGAATTGTCTTATCAACAAAATTATTCCAAACATTGATCTTGGATTTGGTATTAGAAATAATCGTTGGGCACTAAAAGAATAGCCAATACCATATTGTATTATTTAAGTTGACGTGTACCCATCTAATTTTTTAATAAATTAATTATTACTTGGTTTTGCACCGCTTCCTATTAATATTAAAACAGAGCAAAACGGCAAAAAAATATTTGCGTAAATTAGAAATCAAATAAGTTTATAAAATAATAAATTTTATTATATCACTTACATTAACTAATAAATTAATTAGAGATTGTTTGCTAATTCCGGAATGCCATATTGGTTGATTGTTTGTAAAAGTATTTTGTATTATAAATATTTATAATAATTAAAAACTTAATTAAATTTTTTAATTTCACTCTAAATAAATGTTGACACTCCTATTTTTAAAACAAATTCACCGTTACAATGCAAAATGTTAACGTTCTCTTAATTTTTAATAATCCAAAACCATTTTAATGAGATAGTTTCGCACAGCAACTTGATTCATTCATAAAATTATTCAAAAATTTCACATCCTGAACGTAATTGTTCAAATTTAAATGAAATTTAAAAAACTAAAACACCGTGACATTCATTTTCGTACATCAGCATGTGAGGAAAATATTTGCGCTAATTCGTTTTATGCAATTTGCACAACGATCTACTTTAACTTTATGATCTATAATTTACAATTGCCCAAGAAATAAATACCTCAATAGTAATTTTATTATTGCCGGCAATTTGGTAATGTATTATTTAACTGTATCCACCTACATCCTAGTAGTGACTTTCAAACAGCAGACATTTATCGGAAACCAACATTTTTGTTTGTTTGTTTGTGTATAAAAAATTTTTAGACGTCTCCTGTAATATAATTCTTATTATACCCAACCCGCGACCTTTCCCCGCGGTGACAGCTTATTACCGTTGGGTATATGTAAAATATTTTGGTCAACAAGTTTTATCTAAAAGTAGTTTTTGCGTTGCAGAAGATTGAGAAAAACGAACAGGAAAACGGGATAAATTATTATCCCTCTAATCAGTTTTATGGTGTATTTGTGTAGTTTTATTTTCTTACGTTTCGATTCAGTTAGTAAAAAATTGCAATCTACACAATTGATAAAGTGATTAAACTGTACAACGATTACTTATTACCACTAGTAGTAATGATACGTACTTTTTTAAAGTCAAAAATAACTAATTGCCATAGCGGAAAAGCTCTAATAATAACTGCAGTCCACATATTTTTTTATCCCAGACATTTAGCAGTCAATTTATATGAAAATTTTCAGCTGAATCAAAAAATGTTATCAAAGTAGAACAGTTTTTGAGATATAGCCATTTTTTGAGGTAGAGATGAGTGTAGATCTACATTTGTTGAACTTGGTATAATGACTCTACCATCTGTATATATCTATGGTATTAAAGTATGCTAAGCTAAATGAGGAAAAGTTAGCATTAACTAATGCAAATCATCCTTTTTTTGCAGCCATTTTTTGAGATAGAGATGAATGTAGATCTACATTTGTTGAACTTGGTATAATGACTCTACCATCTGTATATATCTATAAGGTATTAAAGTATGCCAAGCTAAATAAGGAAAAGTTTGCATTAACTAATGTAAATCATCCTTACAGCACCAGATATAAGAACAACCTAAGACTGCCACAGTATAGACAAAATCTCATAAAAGTGTTGCCTTCACTGCACCTAAATACTAGTTCCTGTTGCTGTTAGAAACCTAGATTCAGAACTATTCTTAACCAGAATTAAGATGTTCCTAAATGTTAAGGCTTTTTTATGACTGTGATGAATTTTTAAACTGTGATATATCAACTCTGTGATAAATATTCTTTCATACATGCAATGTTTGTGTTATGAGTGTTTTTTGTTTTCTATATACATCTATGTTATGTGCATTTCTTTTCTGTTTGACTTGTGTAATACAACCTTTTGTAAATAACACCAATAAATGATTTGATTTGATTTAATTCCATATAATATGGAATTGACTTTATCTAAAAAACTTCTCTAGTTTCATAACTTTTGATGGTATTGATGTGGACTGCATTTTTTACACTCTTATAAAAATCAGATTTGTTAACATGCATGTAACTCATGAGTTTGTAATTTTCTTATTTTATTTTGTAAAATTTTAACATAATTTTTTGTAGAAAACCAGGGTTTGTAATTATTTTAACAAAGGAAAATATTTTACCGAAAGTTTTGTAAAGGTAATATGCAATTTTGTACTCATTTTGTTAATTTTAAAGGTTACAGATTATTTTGTTAATTTAAAAAAAAATATTTCGTTGAACGTGATTTGTGGCAGTCAATAAAAACTAATAATACTAATTCGTAACGTGTTCATAACAACTGTCCAGAATGTTTGTAATATATTACCAGAAATATGTTACACTGAAAAAATAAGCTGTTGAAACAACAGCAAAAATATTAATTCAACTCTTTATGATCTTTAAATTCAAGCAATGGTTTTTGCACGTTTACTTAACCATCTAAAAATGTCAAATTATATTGTTTAATTTAACAACAAATAACAGTTAATTAAACAAAATGAGAATATTTGTTCTAATCTGCTAATTTGGTTAATTTAACATTCTTAGGGTGTTAAGGTAAATTTCTTGAAATGTACAGGTAACCTTTTTAGCATATTCACTTAACACCAATAAAATGTTAAATTAAAATAATTTGCGCTAATGTTCCAAACCGGTTGGGTTAACATTCTGAAAATGTAAAAGGAAAATTCTATATACCTATAGAGAAAGAATTGAACCCTCACCTCACCAGAGTTTTTGATTTGAGTGCGTTCCACCTACTTTAAATACCGACAGACAGCTGTTTTGACCTATATTGGGGGTCTTATCAGTGTCGGGCAATTTGGTGTAGTGGAAGTTCCACTGTGGAACACACCCAAAACAAACAGCTACCTGATCTTATATACTCCTATCGTAAGCCAACTGAGGCGAGATGTAAGAACACGTGATCAACACCGTCTAATGACGTGGCGTGGGTGTTCGAAGCGCCCTTCACGGCAATTTTATGTATGCAAATTTAACATTTTAAATGAACAAATTTAATGTTTTGGATTAAAGAGCAACTAAACGTTAATTTAATAGTTTTTTAGGTAATCCTAAAAATTTCAGTATTTGATTCAACCAATTCCAGCTATTAAATCAAAATAGGATAAACATTTTAATTCAAAATGTTTATGTTAAATCAATATTAACTGTCAAATGAACAAATAAACTTTGACAAACTATGACTATTGCTTTTACACCAAAATATAGATTAATCCAATATGTTTTTTGATATAA